TCTCTCTCTCTCTCTCTCTCTCTCTCTCTCTCTCTCTTTCTCTCTCCCTCCTCTCTCCCCCCCTCTCCCCTTATACTCTCTAAAAATCAATGGGAAAATATCCTTGGGGGGGATAGAAAAAACATTTCTTCTCTGAGCTGAGGCAGATACATTTTTCCTTCCATTGGTATGTCTAGAGAACACAGAGCAAATGCATTTTCTCTCAGCTTATCTAACAGATTGGATAAAATACACAATTCCCTTAAGGATAAATGTCAAGAAGAAAGACTGACGTATACTTCCAAGCAAAATTTATTAGATGTCTATTCAAGAAAAACACAATGACCTTTGCTTGTAAGAATTCAAAGTCAATGACCTGAAAGCCAAGTAGGAATATTTTTTTCCTTTCAAAATCAGGTACAGAGAGTAGAAACAGTAATTTTTCTTAAATATGACAGGCAACAGATATTGAAGTCTTTTCTCATAAATGGCATGGAAGATAATTATTCATTTATCAGCAAAGCTGCATGCAGTTGACCTAATTTCAAACCCAAGGCCTTTAAAATATAAAGCTGGTTGTGAACTTGACAGTAATCACGGTCGACTACTCAAAGGTGTTTCTTTACCTTCTTCCTATTGAAACCCCTCTGTACTGGATACTTATATACATTTCAGTTTGGCTGCTAAGATCTTTTAAGCTCATAAACTTTTGCATAAATGCTACCTTATAGAATCACACTATCGAGGCGTGCTTATGACCTGTGGGCTATACAAAGAATCATCTTTAGCTTAGTTTAAGTGAAGGATAAAGACCAAGTTAGGAAATTCCCTTGTTTTCTCAACAACTAAATAGTCTGTACAAAAAAAAAGGAGCAACCATATGTACAAAATTCTAGAGTCTACTTACATTGTGAAAAGATCAGTCACTGTCCACAGAAGAAATGCCATAAAAAGTTTTCTCTATAAGGTGCTCAAGATCCAAATATGAATAGTTCTTATGCAAAGTCATAAGAAATACAAAGCTAGTTCTCAGGAGGTGTGTAATTCAGGCACTGTTCGCCACATTAAACCTTCCAGGTCCCAATATCGTTTTGTAAATTTCTACCTCAGGGCAGAAAACAGAACCTGGATGAGTTAACATTGCCTCTAAAAAGTGCCTAATGGATTTTGAGGAAGTATTTTATACACACCAGAAAATCAGGCTCAACATATTCCTGTCCTCAAATGAAGCCAGGATTCTGAGTTCCATAGGAAAAAAATAATTATTATAGTAAAAATAATTGTATTGATCACAATCCTTGCTAAAACCAGCCTTAATACCTGTGATGCTTCTAAAGGTTTCTATTTCTATAAAATAATGCGTGGGGTTCTTTTACATTTCCATAAAATGTATGACATATCATGTGGATTGCCTGTTCTCATACATTCGCAAATGGCTATGTGCACACCCAGTGAGATCCTACCTAGGAATATTGCTTACGGATACTTTCAAGTGTCTATGTTAGAATAACTCTTTGCACCTCTCACTAACACTGCTTTCATTTAAATTTTGTCAGATAAATAAACACTAAGGGCTCATTATTTATGATGCTGATTATTACATTTTAATATAAAATAGCAACGCAACTTTACAACACAATATTTTTTTTGTAGTCTAGCTAAATCTCTTATATTCTCATGATTACTACCCAAAGCTCTTATTCACTTACTGTTTGCACTTCTAAAAAGTACAAAGGTATCGCAGGGCAAGACTGCTATTTGAAAACCCACATTCAATCCACAAAATTCACACTCATCCGAATGAACGCTCCTATGCTTGCTTTAGCTTGTGTAATCATCACTGTGCATATTACAAGATGTAAGTGCAGGCGAATAATAGCTGAAGTACGGTTGTCATGTCGTGTAAACGAGGGCTCTAGGTAAACTCGTGAAAGGAACACAGACTGCCAAGCTAAGAGCGTGGACACACACACCACGTATTTAGTGATAAACCATCTTCTGGTCGCCTGGGGAGGGGCGGGGGACATCCTCAAAGTGGACCAGGGAGCCTCCTCGAGACACTTTTCAATTTTTTTTTGCCTCCAATATTTACCCCTTTGTAAATATGGTGACTTTCTTTCTGATCCTAACGTACAGACTTCCAGGTTAGAGCAGAAAGCAGGAGTATGCACTTTCACATGGAACAGGCCTGCCAACCCCCCAAGGCTCCGGCGGTTACTCTGCTGGTGGTTGGGTGGCAGGTCGAGGTGGGGATGGTGGTGACTTCTATGGGAAACATAAGGCATGAGAGCGGGAGGCCTGCGGGGTCTTTCGGGCAAGGTTCTGAGACGCAGCATACGCAGGAGGGAGGGTGCTTCACAGCCTCTTGACATAGTTTCCGGGGAAAGTACCAAAGAATTTGGTTCTTCTTGAGGTTCCTGCAAAGAGAAGCAACACATGAAAGGGGGGTAATATAACATGAACTAGCAGTTCGTACGTGTGGGCCTGGGACTCTGCGTTCCCGGGCGTCCCTATGTGAGCAAGGCCTGCAGGGTCTGCAGAAGCAGGAAGCTCACTGGGGAACGTGAGCAAGGTAGTCAGGTGAAGAAGCGACAAAGCTAGGAGGATGGCCTGTGCGCTGGTGTCGGATACTCTTGTCCACAAATGTTCCCCCAGAAGACGTCTAGTCTTCTCTCAAGATGTGAGAATGAGACTGTCTCTCCAGTGTTCAGAATGGAACGTCTGTCTCCCTCCTTCCTCCACAAATGAAGGATAAGGAAGCCCTGGCCTCTTAGGGTAACGACAGCAGCCCTAGACGGGGGTGAGCGACCTTGTTCTCTCACACTGACCCTCACGGCTGACAACTGACACTCTCCACGGAACAGAGTATCAGTACTTCTCATCTAGGGACCATTTTTGTTTTGTTTTTCTTCTTACATCTCAGTCTTTCCTGGTTGGTGCTCTTTAAAGAAATTTTCTTCTCCCAGGTGAACCAGAAATAAAGCCAACAGAAAACCGCGTCTACCCGGAGCAGTCAATGCTCCACTCTATTAAAAAGGCAGCTGCCTCGGGATGACATACGAAGGAAGGTATGGAAGATCAAAGGCTTTGTGAACTCAGAGAAAGCCTGACCGCCGTACCCACCCACGCAGGGAGCAAACACAAGCACGTTAAACGTGGGCAAATGTGTCTGCAAGGAGCTGTCCACGTACCCACAAACCATCCATCATCGCATTTCTCCATCACGTCGATGACGTCACTTTCTCTGAGCTCCAGCTCGTCTTCATTCCTAGGAGTATAGTTATACAGAGCCTGAAACCTTAAACAGGACAGATGCATGGGTTTAAAACAAAATCCACACCTTTGTGAAGCTACAGAAGATACACAACATTAATTTTGCTTTTAGCATTTCTATTATTATAATTATAAAGACCTATTAACATAAATCTTTGGTAAGCTTGTAAGTAGAACTATGAAGACTCTCATGGAAATTAAATCACTCAGTATTTCATAACGCGCAATGGGGAATATTCATGGAGGATGATAACATCCATGAGTTGGAGTCAAACATTTTAACGTTCATAAGCCAGAGCCACATTTCAATTGGCCAGTCATAGATATCTGGCATTCAGATGTTAAACAATAGAACAGAATATAAAAAAAAGTGCCGTGTGTATTATTCAGCTATATGAAAACAAGGAATTACAGTTTTAGCTATCTATAAGCAGAAGTAATTAATTGCAGTTCGCAAGTTGAATTTTCGAAGGATTCTAAATGGAGATGTGCAACATGTCTCAGACATATATCTTCTAAATCACTGAGTGGGAATTACTATAAAAAAGAGTTTTTTTGTTTTTTCACCAAAAGAATTCTTTAAAAACGGTTTGGTTTCATAGTTTGAATCCGTGTTTTCTCAGATTTAGAATTTGAAAATCTGATATTGTCCATCTATGAAATGAAATGGATGTATTCTATGCTCAATGATCACTTGAGCTAATATCAAAGAGTAGGGGTATTATGGGCATAAGTTCCTTTTTAAAAGGTTCTGGAGAAATTGTGTTTGATGTAAAAACTCTTTTGAAAAAATTTTACATGAAAAATTACTTATCAGTAATGCTACCCACTTTCCTTTCTCTGTCTGAATTCTTTGAGAGCATATATTTTGGTGACATTGATCAGTAACAAATTCAGCCATTGAATTTTTGGTAATAAAGTCGCTTGTATTTTAACGCATATTAACATGGACTGGCATTTTGAAAAGTGAAGACACAAATTCTAGCAGCTGAAGGCAGGCAGCAGTGGATGTGCAGTTAAGACAAAGACGTCCCAGTGCTTCTAAAATATTATCAGTATTGGGAGGGGGATTTAAAAAAAAATCAGTGAACTGGTTTCTGCTGTTTTCATAACAGTTGTGTAATTCTGCCAATATAAGAATAGAAGAACCACATTTCAGGGCATTTGGGGGTTTTTAAAGCCAACTTTGAAAAGCTGATGACATTGAACACTGCTCAGGAATAAGGATGGTGTATTTCTCATGTCTTCATTCAGTTGGAAAATCACATTTAGGTGGAACGAAACTATTCTGTCACGTGAACTCAAACATCATGTCATAAATCAGGGACAGGGCTCCCTGGCTTCCTCTCGGTCCGTGCACTTGTTTGGGTGGGGGGACCTGATGAAGTTGGCGTTGGTGGGGGGTGTCTGAGAAAGGGTGGGTAAGATATGGTGCCTAACACCTTCTAGAAAACCTTCTCTTCCCTGGCCTGGCCCGAAGCCTGAGCTTCCGGCACTGGAGATGTCTTCCCCTGCCCGTACTTGGTTATCCTAGTACACCTTGTCACCTAGTACACCTTGTCAGTGGCTTGCACTTGTGGGGATGGCTCCTGAGGTCCTCTGTTGAGAGGGGATTGGATTATGGGAAAGGGCAGGGGAAAGCAGCCAGAGTCAGAACAGTGGCAACAAGGCAGGGAGGTGTCGAATACTGACATTGCTTCATTTGGATGCTTGCTTGGGTCAGCCCTGATTTTGTTGTTTGCTTTAAGGATTTTATTTGAGGCCTTTCAGATGAACAGATGCTATGTTCTGTATATCCATGGGGCAAGGTGATGGCAAAATAGTTCTTTCTCCAAATTCACATGAGTGAGATAGCCATTCATCGCCTTGCTGCTAATTCAATGGATGGACACTGCATCTCTCCCTCTGGAAAACTGATTTTCTGATTGAGTTTTTCAGGCTCAGCCCTCACCCAGGCACATCTCCAACCACGTAGGGAGGCAGGCCTATTTAAGGCCACAAACCCCAGCTGCTTGAAGAATCTCAAGGTCCCAGAGCTAAAATAAAATTGGCAGGAACTCCTACTTCACTTGGGTGAGACGAAAGCCAGCATGCTTGTCAAAATTTACTTACCATTCTGGTTTAGTTAGACCACAAAAGGCGGGGAGGGGTGAGGGGGGTTGAAGGGAAACATAAACAAACTTTTCAGAAACCTCCTGCCTCATTGGCTTTCAAAACCAGTGTTGCACAACAGGAAATGCAGTCGAATTACAATGGCAAATGCTCTTGTGAAAGATGTGTTGGTGAGATGAATGATGGTGGTGGGTTAGGATGCCTCAAAAAGACCTTTGTCTTTTAAATAGGAAACCCTCAGCCAAACGTAAGCTCTCTAACTTGCAACTTTTTCTATAACGTATTTCACCACAATTCTGAATTTAGAGACATAAAGCATTGTGTCACTATATTTTTTAAATGAAAGAGATTAAGCGACACCCTATTATCCTACTAATTGGGGTTGTAATCAAATAGAAACTTCATAAAGAATATTTTATAATGTCCAAGGCAGGACTTTGAAAATGTGCCATCTTCCACTTGTGAGCACAGTAGTTTCATAAACAGTCAAATGACCACACTGGGAAGTGTTAACTCCACGTTACTTAGCCCAGTGCAACGTAACATACCCATTACTTCATAAAGTCCTTAAAAGCTGCTGCTGTAATCTGTTAGTAATGCAATGAACCTAAACAGCCCTGACCTTTATTTTTGTGTGACGTGATCCTATCGTTGTTTGAGAAAAAAACATAACCAAAAAAACAAACTGAAACTTTAGAAGAAAAGGCCATATTTAAACCTTTTCCAGTTAATAAATTTTTGAATGATTCTTATTTCCAACCTGTTCTTTTCATCATCTTTTCCTTAGCAAGAGCTTCTGGTTGTGCTTGGGGACAGCAGCCTCAGGTGAGAGATGGTTTCTGAAGGGCATGCTTTTGGCTAAGTGTCAGATCTGCGAGGAATGAAGGGGATGCATGGCCCTAGAGGACTTGCTCTGTCCAGTGAGCAGGGCATGGGCAGTGGGCTGGGGGCTCACCTGTGCTCAGATAGGCCTGATGTGTCTCCTTCCAGGGTCAGCTCCTGACTCACAGAATGGGTGGGAGCCAATAGGAGGCAGGTCCCCTCTGAGTATTTCTCATGGGCAAAAATGGAGCAGGAGAGACACACAACATCTGGGTCTTAAAGACAGTGCCTGACACCTTCGGGTTGACCCGACTATATCAGCAGGGAGAGGGAATTTGAAAGTGTGAAAAGGCATGTGACTGAATGACAGTGCATTTTAAATACTGCCATTTCCAAAGACCCTTCTCAGAACGTAACTTTGGAATTACATCCCTAATTTATCACCTTAGGTCTCCTGCTACATGTTCCTTCCTCCTAAATAATGTGCAAAAACAACGTTAGGACGTTTTCTGTGCCGTTAAAGCTGCAGTTACTAGGATCTACGTGGCGAGTGAATCAAGAGGAGACAGATTCACAATCTTGGGGATCACTGCAGCTTTGGGAGGCCTTGCTAGTGCATGGATCAGTCTTCTCTGCAGATCACGGGTTTCTTTTTAAAATGAGCTCTTTCTCTTATGAAGATGGAGACCATGGCAACCTCTCTTCCTCTAGGAGGCCTCCGGTTGCACAGTGGGGCCTTCCTCTACTTGGGTACATCACTCATCCATGTTGTGGGCCAAGGTTAGTCTTGAATTTAGAAGAGAAGAAGAATACTTACGGTTCCCCCCCACCTTGAATGTTTTCATGAGTAAACACAGGACGCTGTGGCTGAAATGAAATGATTTGCAATGTAATCAATGTTTACACTGATACTAAGTAAGAGATAATTTGGATAATGGCATGGTACTTTTCTTAACATTTAATATATCCTGCTGTAAAAAACCAAGAGGAAGAAAAGAACACAACCACATAAAGGGTTTCTGCAGGATTAATCACTGAAATATTTTGGAGGGTGCTATCAATGACTTCAAAATAACCAAGGTTCGAATGCTTTGAACATATCCACCATCCAGTCTGCTCAAGTTTTAAGGGAAAGTCAGGGCTCTGTCCCATTGATTTTTCAAAGGCCAGGAACATGGCAAGAACATAGACACCAAACCACTGAACGGGAAGTCTGGACACCCTCATACAGCCTCGCTCCTCAGCATTTTCTAAAGCAAGCAGAGGAGGAACCACATTGCGCCCGACAGCAAAGTGTCCACACTCATTCTAATATGCTTTCCCCCCACAGACAACATTTCCACATACAGTACGGATGAAAATATCGATAGGCGGACATCCCATGCTACATTTGAATTAACATTCTCTGTTCTCAGTGTGGAGAAACACATGCATTTTTAAAAAGAGAAAACAGAGAACTTTAAATGGAATGCAACAAACAATAATCCAGGTAACATGTAGCATTTTACCTTAGAAGAGAAATATTGGTGGGAATTCCCAGTGCACTGAACTCCCAAAAGAGTTTCCTTTCTTTTTATACTAAGCATCAAGACCAGTATCTGTAATAGATACTTATAATATTGGAAATGACAAAACCTTAGCATATCCACATAAAGACGGCAATGAATGAAAGTTAACCTGTCGGTTGAATGTAAACTGCATGTTGTTTAAACTGACTACCTAAATGTTACCTTTTAGGGTAAAATTACTGTAATATTTGCAACACATTTCAAAAGCATTCTCTTCTAAGTGATGGCTACATGGTGAAATGAAGTAAATCAGAGTTTGCATAGCAATGATCAAAGTGACTGCTTGGTGATTACTGAATTAGATATTAGATATTAGATTGATCCAGGTCCGTAGACATCAGGACGAAGGCCGATTCCTGGATTCCAGAGTTATGAGCAGATTCAGGCTGGCTAACTTTCCCCTGCAAATTATCCATAGAAACCCCACTGGTCCAAGATTGGATGGGGAACTCTGGGGTTCCTTTCAGTCTGAGTCTTAATTTTCTCTCTTCCTAAATTCTTTATCCACTCTCTTTCCATTTAAGCTGTCTAGCATAAGAAGACTAGGTACTTAGTGTACTATTAAAATTTTAAGCTTTGACTGTAGTAATTGGAAGTGTTTGTTAACAGTATTCTTAGAAATTTCACTCAACAGTCTGCATAGATTTAAGACTAAGGAATGGCTAAAAATGATTAGGCACATATATGGCTTAAGAGAGTAGAATACTTTACCCCTATAAATCAATATAAAGTTACTAACAATATATCTATTATTAAAATTATAAAACATACTATTTTACAAATGATAAAGACTAAGCTGTTTTTCAGCCATTTTAAGATCATTTAATTTAATACATTAAATCAATTAAAATATGTGAAAAGAGGTAAATATGTTATTTATAAGCCTATCTGCTATTACGTTTCTTCAATTCTTATCCAATCTCTCTCTCTCTCTCTCTCTCTCTCTCTCAGACACACACACACACACACACACACACACACACACATGGGTTATCCCCCAAAATGTATATGCACTTTAACAGCTGATAGCTCCATTTTGAAAATGAAATGTATTTTAATAAACACTGCTTTTATAATTATTCAAAGTGTGTGTATACATTTTTGGGAGACACTATATATATATAATTTTTTACACTTTCTTTTGATTATTGACACTATTACAGATGCCCCTATTCCCCATTTGCCTACCTCTACCCAGCCCCTGCCCTCTTCCCTAACTTTTAATGCAGAAATAAGGTATATTTATCTATTATATACATATATATTAATTGCAATCAATATTTTGTAATAATTTTCCAGTACACATTTTAGTTCTCTTAACCATTTTGCTCTTTTTTGTTCTGAAGTTAAGATTGTTCTAGCCTTTTTTCATTGTCATAAGTAACAATGCTATGAACATTTTATACAAAGAACTATTTTCTTCTTTTGAACCATTCCTGAGAAATCATTTCTAGGAGTAAAATTTCTGGCCAAAGATTATACATTCAAGCCACAAGCTATTGAAACTGCTCACATTGGTCACTCAAACATACTGTATATAAATATGTAACTTAAAAAAATCTAAACTACCATATTTCAAATCACACATCAAGACAGGTACTGTTTTCTCAGAAATAGTCATAGCACCATTTCCAGCGCACAACAAAGTTATAAACAATAAATATTATCTGATCTTGCCTGAAGAGAACATGTTTTGTAAAATATATTTCACTGTGCTCTAAAAATGGTGTGCCTATTTCCAAGTATTTAAATCATCCTGATACTTTTGAGTAAAAACTTGTGGCATCTGGGGCTTGGTAAAAGCAAATGTGAATACAACTGATATAATACTTTGAAAATCAGTACAGCATCTTGTTGTTATTGTCATTAGTTTTACTGGTTTAATTCCACTCAACTTACCTCATAAATCATTGAACTGAGTCATCCCTTTGACAATGATAAAAATTGGGCTATTACCAGAGGTCATGGCCCCCTGATTCCATAGGACCCTGAGTCTTAAGAACTGTGTTCCTGGATTGCGGGCCAGTAGCATCTTTGCTTTCACCGATCTTCCCCACTGTGTCTATTCCATCACATCCTTCCAAAGGATCCTCCATTACTTCCCCCTCCCCCCCTCGAATCACCAGTTTTCTATACGTTCACATTCTCAGGCCAGGATTTAGCACAGCTTTTATTAGCATAGATGTCATGTACCTACTGCAATGGTGAGTTTTAGAACTTCCCTAAGGTTCCCTTTAAGAGGAATCATTTCCATGTGAATGTGTATGACTGCGAACCAGTGTTGAGGAAAGATGACCATTACAGTCTTTGAATTCATTTATTTTACTAGTAAAAGTGTTTGGTCACTAGAGGAAGATGTAGCATTCATAGATACATTTATGCCTTTCTGGTGTTGGCATTGACTATGTACCCTTGGGTATGCACCGTAGGTGCCTGATCGCTAAAATCAAGAAGTTGGACGAGATGAGGATTAAGAGCTTGCTTGTCCCCCTCAGGGAATCCATAAAGGAATCCACATTTCACAGACATATTTTCTGTGTTATGTATAGGTGCTGTCATTCAGTTGTCAGAGAGCTGCGACAAGGGACATTCGCTGGATAATTCTCTTGTGTCTCAGTCATGTAAGAACAGTAATAGTAATAATTCAACTTCATTTTTTGCAGATCAGTGAGCCAAAACCAAAGATGATTTCTTAATAGCACAAATAAGTAAGAAGCAATAATAGGGCTCTTACTCTTTATTGCATAAAATATTACTGTGAGGGAACAGATGGCCTAAGTTGGTTAAAATCAGCCCTAACCCTAACCCTAACCCTGACCCTGACCCTAACCATAACCCTAACCCTAACCCTAACCCTAACCCTAACCCTAACCCTAACCCTATTCCTATTTATTTTTGCCCGTAGGCAGCTGTTTATGCTCTGTGTGGATACTCAAGCGAATTCTCTTAGGGGACCATCTTTTGCAGTTCCTCCTCTTGGTGTTATTATCATGGCACAAACCTAGAGGAAAAGCTCTGTATTGTAGCTGCACTCTACTGCCACCTAATGGTGAGTAGTGGCAGCAACATGTAAGAGTTGTTCATGCCTTTACTCAGCTCTCACCGAGTTCCTTTAACCTGGATTCATTTTGGAAGAATATTTTAAAGACCACAGAGTAATGTAAATCGATATTCATCTGTTTTTCCGACCATGATTTTCCCTTCCCACATTTTAAATTCTTGAGAAAGGATCACGCTGGCCACCAGAATTTTTGGCCTATGATAATTTCTATTTAACCATCTACCCAGGCATTTCTATTACTCATGACTTCATAGACGTTTTGCGACAAATACAGAACAGTATACATTTGTGCCATCCAGAAAGGCTCATGTGAACTGTGAATGTATGAATGTGGTTTTCAAGCTAACAGATTACAGACACCGTGCTGGAAATGTTGGGTGAGAATTACATACATCATGCTTGCGTTATCTTGATGAGTCTTAGGGGGATGATACAAATGCTACAAATGGAGAGCCCAATGGGGCATCATGCTGTTTTCTCAGAAGCCTGAATATTTACCCCTTTCCTGGGCAATGTAACAATTATT